TATTTAAATAAACTCTGGATAAAATTAATTAATTTTAATTAATTAATTAAATTTGTTTTAATAATTAAATGCGGGTGTACTCTCTCTGAACAACTGGTATTAACCGTCAATTGTTAACTTTGTATATGCCGTTAATCATTTCAGTTAATTTTGATATTAATCACAAATAATTCCAAATTTTTAATCACAAGTAATGTTATACCAACTCATTAAAATTCTCAATCATAAAATATTGCATGTGTCACACAATACTAAATAAAAGTACATAATTTAAATAAACAATTTATTTAAACCATTGTATGAAATAATAATTTAGATATAAAGAAAATAAACCATAATCACATACATGCATGGATTTTTAATTACAAGATTAGACTACCACAATATTAAATAAACCACAATACACCCATACATAGATTACTAATTTACAATATTTAATGAGTTAGACCAACACAATAATTAATTTTTTTTATCCAAATAATTAATTGAAGTAATAATCTTGAACCTGCCCAGAAATTTTCAGGATGTACCTTAGGTAATAAAAATTATAAATAAATTATTTATAAAATTCTAAAATTTGTGTAAATATATAGCATATTTAATAAATATGTTTAGGTCATTTTTCAGAAAGAATTTCCCAAAAATAAGTTATAAATGATTCTGTAAAATTCTCAAAAATTTTATGACACAGATTTATCACATTTTCTTAAATTAATTCCATACTTAAATTCATAGATCAGCTCCATAATCTAAACATTTATTATGAAACTAGATTTCCAAATTTCATCTTTTAGTTAGAAATTACCAAATTTGGCTTAATATAGAATTTTTAATAAATTTTCAAACATATAGTAAAATCTGTCTTACAGTTTCAGATTTAATTAAAAATTTGTATAAATTCGTACAAAGCTCAATAATTGTTGCAAAAATTTTTAGATGAACTAGACATCATTCCCAACAACTTTGTAGAAGAAATAATCTTCAAATTTTGAGTATAAAATTGTCTAAAAATTCATACAAATTTTCTGACAGATTTAAGGGCCAAATAAAATCTTCAAAAATCTTTTTAATGGTATAAACTACACATGCAAGTCCAAATTCCACAATATTATCATGATTTTAAGACTACCAATATCTTCAAATATTTGATATACAAATCATAAATTTACATACAACTATAAATAAAATTCTATTTACAAGTTTAGTCATTTTATCATATAAATATAATTTGAAAATTTCAACATTTAAAAAAAATGAGAGGGTTGAAAGCGTTTTCTTACTTAGTTGTAGGATTGAAATGGAACGATGAAATGGTAGAAAATATATATCCTTCTTAATCTCCTCCTCCTCTTATCCTCCTATTCAACTTGACAGATTTAATTTTTTTTTTTTTTTTTTTTTTTTTTTTTTTTTTTTTTTTTTCGCAGTTGTCCTTTTCATCCCTCCTTCACCAAATGCAAGCATGCATGTATATATATACAATGCATTGCTGAGCACCCCCCCTTCTCTCTCTCTCTCTTCATTCTATGTAATCAAATCTTCAATTTCCAAAGGCTATATTCTATACCACCATGCATGCAACCAAGTGGCAATGCTGCCACTTGAAATCTGCCGATTTTTTGTGTGTGTGCGTGTGTGTGTGTATATTTGTGTATTTGTGTGGGTTTCTTAAATTTGATACACTAAGATTTTTAACTAAACTATCTAGTAAGAATAATTATCATGTTGGATCCTTATTAAAATAATTTATAAACAACAAATATTGAACACCCACAAAATTATTATTCTTAATAATGTCTTTGTTAGTGATTGAATTGGGTTAATTTAAAACTAACTTTTACATTAATATATATTTCAAATAAACTCTGGATAAAATTAATTAATTAATTAATTAAATTTTTTTTTGAATAATTAAATGCGGGTTTTCACAATCTACCATTCTAAAAAAAATTTCGTCCTCGAAATTAATTTGTACCTTTCGACTCGAAAAGCTGAGGATAATTGGCACGTATCATATCTTCTCGTTCCCACGTTAACTCTTCTGTCCCATGATGTCTCTAGAGAACTCGAATCAACAGTATAGTTTTACCTCGTAATTTCTTCTCGCGACGATCCAAAATTTTAACAGGCTTTTCTTCAAATGTCACATCTTCATCAAGATTAATTTCCTCCCAATTGATGATATGAGAAGGGTGTGGCTCGTATTTCCGTAGCATAGAGACATGGAAAACATTATGTACTCCAGCCAGTTGAGGTGGTAGAGCCAATGATACGCCACTTCTCCTATTTTGTCCAAAATTTCGAAAGGCCCAATGAAGCGAGGTAAGAACTTTCCTTTCTTTCTGAAACGAACAACTCCTCAACAAGGTTGTATTTTCAAAAACACATGATCTCTAACTTGAAATGCTAAAGGTCTTCTCCTTTGATCTGCATAGCTTTCCTGCCTACTATGAGCTATCTCAAGTCTTTGTCTAATTAATTTCACCTTCTCGGTAGTTTCTTGAACCAACTCTGGTCCTAAAAGAGGTGCTTCTTCGACTTCTGTCCAACATATTAGTGACTGACAAGGCCATCCGTACAAAGCTTCATACGGCGCCATACCAATACTTGCGTGAAAACTGTTATTGTAAGAGAATTCGACTAGTGGTAAGTGTATCTCCCAACTATCCTTAAAGTCCATCACACCAGCTCGAAGCATGTCTTCTAAGGTTTGTATTGTCCTTTCAAACTGCCCATCGGTTTGTAGGTGAAATACCATGCTAAAGCATAGGTTCATTCCCATTGCCTTTTGTATGCCCTACCAAAATTGAGAAGTGAATTGAGGATCATGATCAGACACGATGCTAATTGGTACTCCGTGTAACTTAATCACTTCTTTGATGAACAATCTACTGAGTGAATTCAATATATCTGATGACCTGACAGGTAAGAATCGGGCTGTCTTAGTTAGTCGATCTATCACTATCTACATACCGTCATGTCCCTGTGGCGACCGAGGCAAACCCGTCATGAAATCCATGGTTATGCATTTCCATTTCCACTCTAAGATTGGTAAGGGTTGAAGTGTTCCTGCCGGTCTTTGATGTTTAGCCTTTACTTGTTGACATGTCAGGCACTGAGACACAAACTTCGCTACATCTTTTTTCATTCCGCCCCACAAATATTGGCGTTTTAAGTCTTGGTACATCTTAGTACCTCCCGGATGTACTGTGAATGCTGAATGGTGGAATTCCTTGAGTACCTTTTCCCTTAGTGAGTTGTCTGGCACAAACATTTGACCTTGATATGTCAAACTCCTATCAATGTGAATTTCCTAACCAGGCATGGTTTCACTAGATCCCATGTGAGCCTTGATGAATGCTGCCTCTTGATCGTACTTTTGTGATTCCAATATCTCGCTCAAATTCTAGGCGTAGCAATCTGAGCACCAAGGTAAGCCTTTTCATCTTGAACCCCCATTTGCACCCCAAATTCATTGAGCGTTCCAACCATATTCCATTCTCTAAGTGTTAAACTAGCAACAATCCCCCTATTCTTGCGAGTTAGCCCATCTGCTACCACGTTAGCCTTGCTAGGATGATATGAGAGGGTAAATTGGTAATCCTCGAGATACTCCATCCAACGTCTCCGACGCATGTTCAGATCCTTTTGGATGAACAGATACTTCAAGCTTTTGTGATCAGTGAATATCTCAAACTTTTCACCACACAAGTAGTGTCTCCAAATTTTGAGTGCGTGAACTATAGCTGCTAATTCCAAGTCATGGGTGGGATAATCCTTCTTATGGTTCTTTAATTGCCTTGATCCATATGCATACACTTTGCCATTTTGCATCAATACGCACCCCAGACCTTCTTTGGAAGCATCACAATATACGTTGTTCCCAACGTCACATTCTGGCACTATGAGAATAGGGGAACTCGTCAATCTTTTCTTTAGTTCTTGGAATGAATTTTCACAAGACTCGTTCCATTCAAACTTTACCCCCTTTTGAGTCAAATGTGTCATTGGTTTGGCCAATTTTGAGAAGTCTTGAATGAATCTTCGATAGTAACCGGCCAATCCTAAGAAACTACGAATCTCAAATGTGTTTTTAGGTTGCTTCCATTCTGTCACTGCTTCTACTTTAGTTGGGTCTACTTATATTCACTTTTTAGATACCACGTGACCCAAAAACTTTACTTCCTCCATCTAGAACTCACATTTACTAGCCTTAGCATACAGTTGGTTTCCTCTCAAAGTTTGAAGTACTATCCTCAAATGTTGTTCATGGTCTCCTTCAGACTTGAAATACACCAAAATATCATCTATGAAAACTACCACAAATTGATCTAAGTAAGGCGTGAATATTTTGTTCATTAAGCTCGTGAACACGCCTGGTGCATTGGTTAGGCTGAATGGCATCACTACGAATTCATAGCGGCCGTAACGGGTTCGAAACGTAGTCTTAAGAATATCTTCCTCCCGAACACGCAAAAAAAGAAAGGAAAAACTCAAAATGCAAGGATGTGGGGATATGAGGTTTCGAACCCCTGACCTCAGGCTTAGTCTCTTGCTCCTTCAACCACTGAGCTATGCCACTCTTGTGACAAAATATTCAAACAAATATATATATATATATATATAGGTATACGAGACACATATACAAATAAACCAAAACAAAACAAAAGAAACACTCGTTGTTATGGGGGCTTAAACCTCTGACCTCAGGCTTAACCTTTCAATCCTCAACCACTGAGCCCAACCACTAAACCCAACCCACTATTGTGACCAAATATGAAAACAAATATATATAATACATAGATATACAATACATATACATATATGCATACAACTCTCCAGCCTCTTTCTCTTCCTTCGAAAATCGCGTTTGACACGCGGCCTTGCTTTTGCGTCAGCTGGCCGACAAAAGTAGACCTCCTCAATTATTGATTGCCTCGGCTCTCTTTCCTTATTTGTCTTCTTCTCTTCTATCTTCTTCTTAATCACTCACTTCTCCTTCTTCTTCCTCATTCTCTTCCATCTCCTTCTTCTTCATCACTCTCTTCTGTCTCCTTTTTCTCTTCCGTCTTCTTTTTCCTCGAGAGACAGAACAGAGAGACTGAGTGGAGGAGAAAGGCTGCCAAAACTCAGTCTGTTCTCGGCTATTTCTCTACAACGCCTTTCTTTTACACCTCTCACCTCTAACACATGGCCTTGTCTCGTCCTCTCACTCTTTTTTCGGACCTAAATGATCCCATAAGCTCTTTTGGAGCGAGTGCCCCTGCTCCTACGTTTACTCCTCTTAACTTTCCCATGCTATCAATCAAGCAAATAATGGCAGCTCAATCTGACATTGAGGCCAACCATTATACGCTGAAGTCCTGCATGGAGACAATGACTGCGGTCTCCAAGTTGTCTCACCGACTGCAGAATAGGACAAATGAGGTACAACCGTTGAACTCCAAACTCTCTCTACTCCAACGCATGTACAAAGATGTGAGCAGAGATTTGCACGCTGAAGGCGGACAACAAAGAGTTGAAACGGGAGGCCACCGTCATGGCCCAATGTAGACACCCCATTTTTGACCGACCTTAAGACTCAGATGTCACTGATTGAGCGCTTGGTGATGTTGCATAATGTGCTCGTTCAGAAGTTTCAGAGTTGCGGCCGTGAGCCCTGCCTCCGGACTTCCGAACCCTCTTCTGTGCCTTGTCTCGGTTTGCGAACCAGACTCGGTTTTCTCTGTTTCTTTTCCTGAGGGGAGGGAGAGGTCCAGTAGACCATCTCTCAATGTCCGTGGGCTGCATTTGGTGGCCGTAGGCCATTTTTCCCATTTCGGAGTCCGGTTTCCGGTTTTCGGAGCCGTCAGGCCGTGTGCCTCGGCTCGGGACCGCTTAACCATCTCCTATTGCTCCGATTTTTGGCATACTCCTTATTTTCTCCCTTTTGAGGGACACTGGGGTCTGAGAAACCCACTTCGTGGCCGAACGCCATTTTCGGTGTTTAACAGCCCATTTTCGGGACCTCGAACTGCGCGTTTTGGTCCCCGAGCATTTGTTTTGCAACGGTTTTCGTTCATTTTTGGCAGGTACCTCTGTTTTATCACCAGGAAGGCCGTAGAAGGGTGGGAGGCCAGCAATTGTTTCAGCAACCAATTATATTCCTCCGGGGCCCTCCGACGCCCGTTTTTCTCACTTCCAAGCCAATGTTGACCACCCTAGGGTCACTTTCTTCAATCCTAACCCCCATATTTGTGTTGTACACACATGGGAGGACACCAAAAGTTGGTGGCCAACCAGTAATTCCACCTGACCCTTTTGAACCCCTCCTTCCGAGCTAATGTTGAACATCTTGGGGCCACATTCTTGAACTTTCAACCACATATTTGTGATGTACACACATGGGAGGCCACTAAAAAGTGGTGGCCGGCCATTAATGTCAGGGCAGTTGATGCCGAACACCTGGAAAATACTAATGGCCTGTGCGAGCGCTTGGCCATAGGCTACTGGGGGGGGGCGCAAATGACAGTGGAGGAATTCTTCTCCTGCTACAAAGCCTCGGGCCAACAGGAGACGTGGGTGACCTTGCAGGCAGTGGCGGGCCGGGGTCTAGTGGCAGGTTTGCCATCTTCGGTGAAGGGGTACCATGAGAGGTGGTTTTTCGTATCAGCGAATAGGCCGGAAGGGGTGCGGATGATATGGAAAGTCCCCACAAAGTTGGTGGAGCCGAAGTTGGGGGTGGAGGCAGAAGAGAGGGTCAAACAGGTGAAGGAGTGGAGGGAGAAAGAGGGTGTCAGATGAGACGATCTAGTTCGCCCTTCGTCCTTATATGCCTTGGGGCTAGGACCGCAACCGATTGAAGGAGACCCTTTCGTGGAGGAGGTGGAGGTGGAGGTGAGGCGAAAGGCGGAGGCGGCGAAGGAGTGGGAGACTTTTGCCAGAGCCGAAAAGTATAAGGAGATACAGTTGGGGCTTGCCCCTAAACTGGTGATGAGGGAGCTGGTCCGACCGCGTCCCAAACCATTGGGCGACAAAGACTTAGCTAGTTTTGCCCCATTGCCACCACCAGTAGACGCGTTGAAGGAGAGGGGCAGGCAGGAAGTGAAGGCAATGCTGAAGAAGCCAAAAAAGAGGAGGGCAACTGTCGATGGGAGAAAAAGCGCCCCTGTCATGAAGAAGATGAAGGTTAGGGGTGATGATGCCCTTATGCTAGAGAAAGTGGATGAGGGAGGGGTGGGGGTAGCTCTAGAAGGGGAGATCAGTCCCACTCCCAAGTGGTTGAAGAAAACTTGGAGACTGCCCAGGTGGCGAAAGAAGACAAGGGGCCAAGCGCCCAAGTGTTGAAAGAACACGTGAGCCCGAGCGCCCAAGTGGTGGTGGCAGTGCCTGTATTAGAAGGAACCTCCAGCCCCATGGGAGGGAAGACCGGGGCCAGTACGCCAGGGACAGGTGTCGGGCTATCAACCGCGTTGTACCATGCGCGTGCATTGGCAGGGCGCTTCGTGGAGGAATGGAGGAAAGCCAGGGCGACGGCCGACCGCCAAGTTGGAGTGTTAGAGGACGCTATCGTGCGGTCAATGACCCGGTTGGGGGAGGCCGACCTCTTGAGAGGGTTGT